TCACCTACATCCAAAGAGTACTGTGGACTCAAACAGTGATGGATCTGGACCAAACTTGGCAGGAATACTCAGTATGCCCAAATGTGAACCCCACCAATGATAGAATTGGGCCAAACTTCCCACACAGAATCCTCATGAGCAACAGAAAATACTGTGTTTTCTGATGGTCTTTGGCAACCCCTCTGTCATTCCCCCCACAACCCCTCCTGACCCCCAGGTTGAGAAACGCTGACATAAGTCAACCCGGGACTTGAAGACACAGACAGACATACATTGGGTCATTTTAGGCCCAGAAAAGTCATTCAATCTCTCTTGGAATAAAAGCCTCTCTTGGACCTATTTTTATTGCCCTGGTTTGGCCATGTGGACATTCTCCATTGCCCTCTCTCTGCCTTTGTCTTCCTTCAAGTAAGGACACAGTTTGCCAGTCTCCAGGCAAAATGTAGCTGAATTGATACTTTTGATATTTTACCCTTTTATCTTCCTTAGAAGATGAGCCTTGTAAGCTAGTTATATACTAGCTTGTGGACCCGTCGCTGCCCGGGTTATTAGAGAAAGTGGGTAATGGCGAGTCTGTATGCCAAGTTTGGTCTTTATTAGTCATTGGATGATGGTTGCATTGTTTTCAGGAAGTGAGTGAAGGTACTTGAAGTCCCATCATCCATGGTCCACCCTCCTCCAAACATGTGGCAAAATTGCATCTGGTAGGGATATCTGGCAGCATTTAGTGCCAAATATCCCTACCAAGGTACATTCCATGACCTTGGGCAGGTCACGTTCTCTCAGCCTCAGAAGAAGGCCAGGGCAAAGCTCCTTTGAGCAAACCTTGCTAAGGAAGTAGACCTTACCATTGCAATGGATTGGCAATGACCTGAAGGCCTACAACGGGAACCAAATGCAAGGATGTGCAGCTCTCCAAGGTAACTTGGGGTCAATATAGTTGACCTTTTGCAGCCTAGGGTTGTTCCTAAGCAGGATTCCCAGATTACAAGACTGCCCCACTCCCCTCACTCTTCCTGCCCCGTCTTCCTTCTCATACCAAACATGCGTTGCCACCAAACGATTAATCCGGTGACGCCAAAGAAAAAGAAGATGGCTCCCAGGACGGTCTTCCACTCGTTGCTGGGCTTGTTCATTTCGCTGTAGGTCTGGTGGAACTTTATCCGGTACACTGCAAAAGAAATAAATGAGGGAGGGAGACCCACGTTATCACCTGCCTCTTTGGCAGAGGAGGCTCAAGGCTTTGTGAAACTACAACTCTCAGGACTCCATAGCATCAAGGCACAGTAATTAAAAGGGTGCCAAACTGCATTCATTTGATACAAGAGATGAACCCCAAGTCTTTGGTCCTCCAAACATTTTGAACTTCAGCTTGCAGGATCCCTGATGTATGAAGTTTTGGGGAACTAGAGTTCAAAATATATGTAGCATTAAAGTTGGGGAATTGCAGTACTAAGGAGCTCTAGTTCCCCTCCACAGATTATGGTTGTCTAGCAGAACATTGAGAATGAGATAGAGAGCTTTTGGGTGGTCACACTCTCTCAGCCTTTGAGGAAAGCAAAGGCCAGCTTTCCTTCTCTCTCTCCCTCTTTCTCCTTCCTTCCTTCCCTCCCTTTCATCATTCCTACCCTCTTTCTTCCTTCCTTCCCTCTCTCCTTCCATCCTTCTCTTCCTCCCTTTCTTCCTTCCTTCTTTCCTCCCTCCTTCCCTTCTTTCCTCCCTCCTTCCCTCTCTCCTTCCATCCTTCACTTCCTCCCTTTCTTCCTTCCCCTTCTTTCCTCCCTCCTTCCCTCTTCCCTCCCTCCTTCCCTCCCTTCTTCCATCCTTCTCTCCCTCCCTCCCTCCCTCCCTCCCTCCCTTCCTCCCTTCCTTCCCTCTCTCTCTCCTTCTCTTCCTCCTTCTCCTTCCTCCCTTCTTTCTCCTCCTTCCTCTCTCCTTCCTCCTCTCTCTCCCTTTCTTCCTTCCTTCTTCCTTTCCTCCCTCCTCCCTCTCCCTTCCATCCTTCTCTTCCTCCCTTCCTTCCTTCCTCTTTGATTAATTACACCATGTAACACGATTTTTTTGTCTAAATGTCATTTCCTAAGTGGTTCTATCACAGGTATGGGCAAAGCCAGGCCCTTGGGCTCTTTTCTCAGGCCCTCCTCTCTCTCGCCATCCGATCCTTCCAGCATTCGCTCTTTACTTCCTTCCTTCCTTCCTTCCTTCCTTCCTTCCTTCCTTCCTTCTTTTCTCCCTCCTTCCCTCTCTCCTTCTCTTCTTCTTCCTTCCTTTTCATCCTTCCTTCCTTCTTCCTCTTTCCCCTTTCCCCCTCCTTCCTCCCTCCTTCCCTTTCTCCTTCCTCTTCTCTTCCTCCTCCCTCCTTCTTCCCTCTTCCCTCTTTCTCCCTCCTTCCCTTCCTTCCTCCTTCCTTCCTCTCCTTCTTCTTCCTTCCCTCCTTCCTCTCTCCTTCCTTTTTTCCCCTTCTTCCTTCTTCCTTCCCCTTCCCTCTTCCTCCCTCCTTCCTTCTTTCCTTTCATCCTTCTCTTCCTCCCTTTCTTCCTTCCTCCTTCCTTCCTTCCTTCTTTCCTCCCTCCTTCCCTCTCTCCTTCCATCCTTATCTTCCTCCTTTCCTCCCTCCCTTCTTTCCTCCCTCCTTCCCTCTTTCCTTCCATCCTTCTCTTCCTCCCTTCCTTCCTTCTTTCCTCCCTCCTTCCTCTTCCTTCCATCCTTTCTTCCTCCCTTCCTTCCTTCTTTCCTCCCTCCTTCCCTCTCTCCTTCCATCCTTCTCTTCCTCCTTTCTTCCTTCCTTCCTCCTTCTTTCCTCCCTCCTTCCCTCTTTCCTTCCTCCTTCTTCCTCCTTCCTCCTCCCTTCCTCCCTCCCTCCCTCCCTCCCTCCTTCCTCCCTCCCTTCTTTCCTCCCTCCTTCCCTCTCTCCTTCCATCCTTCTCTTCCTCTTCCTTCCCTCCCTTCCTTCCATCACTAGGCAGCCAGTCTTCCTAGCAGGGAGGGCTAGCACGCTAGAAGTTAGAAATTTTGCCCAGGCCTGATATAGAATCATAGTTGGAAGACTGTCATCCACTCCAACCCCATTCTGAAATGCTGGAAAGGCACAATCAAAACACCCCCAACAGATGGCCATCCATCCTCTGCTTCGCTTGAGTAAAGCGGCTTGGAAGCTTATCCAGTAGCCTATATTCTGCTGCATCCTACTCACAGGCCACTTTCTCCTCGTTGCTCAGCTGCGCCCAGGAGCCTTTCTCCTTCTCCTTGAGGGCCTTCTGCGTGACGTCCAGATCTTTGCAAAACGGGGCGTCCGGCAGCGGATAACTGCGCTTGTCATAGTAAAGGGGCACGGAGAGGTCCTCTTGGGTAGAGACTGTCAACAGAGAGAGAAACAGCAACCGAGATATGTCAGCATGGACCTTCATCACTGAATTAGCTGAATTCATATTTTATATGTTTACTAGCGGTACCCGCCACACGTTGCTGTGGCCAACCTTCCCTCCCTCTTTCTCTCTTTCTTTCTTTCTCTCCTTCCTTCCCTCCCTCTTTCCTTCTTTCCCTTCTTCTTTCTTCCTTCTCTACCTGTTTCTTTTCTCGCTTCCTTTGCTCTTTGGTTCCATCCTTCCTTGTCTCTTTCCTTCCTTCCTTCCTTCCTTCCTTCCTTCCTTCCTTCTTTCCTTCTTTCTCTCTTTCTTCCTTCTCTCCTTCCTTCCCTCTCACTTTTTTATTCTTTCTCCTTCCTTCTCTCCTTCCTTCCTTCTCTACCTTCTTTTCCTTTTTTCTCTCCTTCCCTCCTTCTTTTCCTCTTTCTCTCCCTCCTTCCTCTACTCCTTCTTTCCCTCTTTCTTTCCCTCTTTCTTCCCTCTCCTCCTCCTCCTTCTTCCTTCCTTCCTTCCTTCTTCCTTCCTTCCTTCCTTCCTTCCTTTCCTTCTTTCCCTTCTTCTCTCTTTCCTCTTTCTCTCCCTCCTTCTCTTCTTCCTTCCTCTCTACCTTTCTTTCTTTCCTTCTCTCCTTCCCTCCTTCTTTCCCTCTTTCTCCCCCTCTTTCCCTCCCTCCTCTCCTTCCTTCCTTCTCTACCCTCTTTCTTTCCTTCTTTCTTTTCCTCCTTCTTCCCTATTTCTCCCCCTCTTTGTCTCCCTCCTTTTCTCCTGCCTTCCTTCTCTACCCTTCTTTTTTCCTTCCTTCTCTCCTTCTCTCCCTTCTCTTCCTCTTTCTCTCCTTCCTTCTCTATCTTTATTTCCCTCTTTATCTCCTTCCCACCTTCTTTCCCTCCTTCTTTCCCCCTTCTCTCCTTCCTTCTCTACCCTTCTTTCTTTCCTTCCTTCTCTCTCCCTCCTTCCTTCCTTCCTTTCCTTCTTTCCTCCTTTCTGTGTATGTGTTTTGTGTGTGTATACTGGCTGTTAGGAATTGTGGGAGTTGAAGTCCAAAACACCTGGAGGGCCTAAGTTGGCCCATGCCTGCACTACAACTTCCTCTCCTTCCTATCTACCATGGCCACATCCCGGATTCCCTGAGAAGATGGTGAAATCTCTCTCTATTTTTGGGAATTGTTAGACAGCCAACTCTCAGACTGGGGATTCTTGTAATGTCAGGGGCTGGATTAGATGACCTTTAGGGTCCCTAAGCTTTCTGTGATTCTTTCCCTTGGAATATCAACAGGTCAAGGAAATGGCCCTCTTGTGGGCATGCTAAGAAGAGCAGCTAGGTTTGCACCAACTCTTCCACCCAATGTTGCTAGTGGCTTTGGTCATGTCAGGAGTGACTTAAGAAACTCCAAGTCCCTTCTGGTGTGAGAGAATTGGCCGTCTGCAAGGACGTTGCCCAGGGGACACCCGGATGTTTTGATGTTTTGATGTGCTGGTGGCTATTTGTTGTCGAAGGCTTTCATGGCTGGAATCACTGGATTGCGGTAAGTTTTCTGGGCTGTCTGGCCATGTTCAAGAAGCACTCTCTCCTGACCTTTTGCACACATCTATGGCAGGCATCCTCACAGGTTGTAAGGTCAGTTGGAAACTAGGCAAGTGGGGTTTATATATCTGCGGAATGTCCAAGGTTGGGAGAAAGAACTCTTGTCTGGGTGATAACCTATGATTGTTTGCAGCATTGTTGACCATTTTCGATCCCTTGGCAGCCACCTCTCCACAAAAGTCAACATTGACACTGAAATACAACACCGCCTGAGCTCTGCAAGTGCAGCATTTTCCCGAATGAAGCACAGAGTGTTTGAGGATCGGGACATCCATAGGGATACCAAGGTGCTTGTTTATAAAGTCATTGTCCTCCCAACCCTGCTATATGCCTGTGAAACATGGACTGTCTACAGATGTCACATGCAACTCCTAGATGCAACATCTGCATCGCTATGATACTTCACCTTGTTGATGGGAAGCTTCCCACCGGAGTGGAAATCATCTATCAGACTGATGGCAAGCTATTCAGCCTCAGCAGACTGAAAGCCAAAACCAAAGTTACAACAACATCTGTTACAGAACTCCAGTATGCTGATGACAATGTCATCTGTGCGCATACAGAAGAAGATCTACAAGCCACTCTAAACACCTTCGCAGAAGCATACACGAAGCTTGGCCTGTCACTGAACATCGAGAAAACCAAAGTGCTGTTCCAGCAGTCACCAGCCATCCCCTCCCCAATGCCAGAGATACAGCTTAATGGTGTAACATTAGAAAATGTTGACCATTTCCGCTACCTTGGCAGCCACCTCTCCACAAAAGTCAACATTGACACTGAAATACAACACCACCTGAGCTCTGCAAGTGCAGCATTTCCCCGAATGAAGCAGAGAGTGTTTGAGGACCGAGACATCTGTTAGGGATACCAAGGTGCTTGTTTATAAAGTCACTGTCCTCCCAACCCTGCTATACGCCTGTGAAACGAGGACTGTCTACAGATGTCACATGCAACTCCTAGAATGATTCAATCAATGTTGCCTCTGAAAAATCCTGCAAATCTCTTGGGAAGATAAGTGGACAAATGTCAGCATGCTGGAAGAAGCAAAGACAACCAGCATTGAAGTGATGGTCCTCCGCTATCAACTCTGCTGGACCGGCCACGTTGTCCGGATGCCTGACCACCATCTCCCAAAGCAGTTGCTCTACTCCAAACTCAAGAACAGCAAATGCAATGATGGAGGACAGGAAAAGAGATTCAAAGATGGGCTCAAAGCCAACCTTAAAAACTGTGGCATAGACATTAAGAACTGGGAAGCCCTGTTCTTGAGCACTCCAGCTGGAGGTCAGCTGTGACCAGCAGTGCTGCAGAATTTGAAGAGGCACGAATGGTGGGCGAAAGAGAGAAATGTGCCAAGAGGATGGCGTGTCAAGCCTTCCAGCTGGAAACCGATGCCCTCACTGCGGGAGAACATGCAGGTCAAGAATAGGGCTCCACAGTCACCTATGTACCCACCACCAGTACACCGATCTCAGATGACAATCCTACTCGGATAATGAGGGATCATCTAAGTTAGTAAGTAAGCAAGCAGCATTTTTGCTGTTGTTGTTTCCCCAAATTGTGGTGCAAATATATTGCACTATGGAATGAATTCAATTATGACACCATAGCTCAATGTTATGGAACATATGGGAGATCTAATTTTTATAAGTGTCTTTTGCTTTATAAAAAGTGGGGAATCACACCACATTAATTTGCAGTTATGGCTGGGGATGATGGTTGTTGTAGTCCTGTTAGGAAGCCAGGTTTGGAGGAAGCTGCGTTAGGGGGGAGGACATATATGACCCAGGATAGAAGAGTTGTTTGAGGATTATACAATAGTGCTGGAAAACCACTCAGCCATGGAAACCCATAGTGGGCAGGTCACACTCTCTCAGCCTCAGATGAAGGCAAAGGCAAATCCCCTCTCAATAAATTTTGCCAAGGAAAGACTATGATGGGGTCATTCTTACCATGTCCACCATGACCATGTGCCGTTTGAATGGCAGCAGCGCTGAGAGCTCCTCTTCTGGTCAGGATCCCCATGCGCATGGACATCAACGACAGCATCTGGAGACATCGTGAAAACATAAAATCCTAGAGTTGGAAAAGACCTCTTGGGCCATCCAGTCCAACCCCATTCTGCCAAGAAGCAGGAAAATAACACTCAAAGCACCCCGACAGATGGCCATCCAGCCTCTGGGGCAGAGGGATCCACTGCTGAACAGCTCTCACAGTCAGGAAGTTCTTCCTAATGTTCAGGTGGAATCTCCTTTCCTGTAGTTTGAAGCCATTGTCTCATTGCGTCCTCATCTCCAGAGCAGCAGAAAACAAGCTTGCTCCCTCCTCCCTATGACTCCCCCTCACATATTTATCCATGGCCCTCATCATGTCTATTCTCAGCCTTCTCTTCTTCAGGCTAAACATGCCCAGCTCTTTAAGCCACTCCTCATAGGGCTTGTTCTCCAGACCCTTGATCATTTGAGTTGCCATCTTCTGGACACGTTCCAGCTTAGAGTCAACATATCCCTTCCATTGTGTGTCCAGAATTGGACACAGTGTGATTCCAGGTAAAGTGGTCTGACCAAGGCAGAATAGAATAGAGGGATAGTCGAGCCAGGCATTGTCCCCCATTATGCATCTTTGCAATCTATGTCAAGCAAGTGAGAAGGTGGCATATAATGCCAGAGCAGAGTCAGGAGAGACAGCAGCTAAATAAGCCAGTGGAAGTCTAGCCTGCATCAATAGAGTTGAGTGTGTAGATCAGCGTTTCTCAACCTGGGGGTCGGGACCCCTGGGGGGTCATGAGGTGGTGTCAGAGGGGTCATCAAAGACCATTAGAAAACACAGTATTTTCTGTTGGTCATCTGGGTTCTGTGTGGAAAGTTAGGTCCAATTCTATTGTTGGTGGGGTTCAGAATGCTCTTTGATTGTACGTGAACTATAAATCCCAGCAACTACAACTCCCAAATGTCAAGGCCTATTTTCCCCAAATTTTGCCAGTGTTTGTATTTGGGGATATTGAATATTTGAGCCAAGTTTGGTTCAGATCCATCATTGTTTGAGTCCACCGTGCTTTCTAGATGCAGGTGAACTACAACTCCAAAACTGAATGTCAATGTCCAGCAAACCCTTCCAGTATTTTCTGTTGGTCATGGGTGTTTTGTGTGCCAAGTTTGGTTCAATTCAATTGTAGGTGGGGTTCAGAATGCTCTTTGATTGTAGGTGAACTATAAATCCCAGSAACTACAACTCCCAAATGACAAAATCAATCCCCTTCCAGCTCCAAATATGGGCGTATTGGGTATCTGTGCCAAATTTAGTCGKCAAAGACCATTAGAAAACACAGTATTTRCTGTTGGTCGTCTGGGTTCTGTGTGGAAAGTTAGGTCCAATTTTATTGTTGGTGGGATTCAGAATGCTCTTTGATTGTAGGTGAACTATAAATCCRAGCAACTAAAACTCCCAACTGTCAAGATCTATTTCCCCAAACTCCACCAATGCTCACATTTGGGCATATTGAGTATTCATTCCAAGTTTGYTCCTGATRCATCATTATTTGAGTCCACAGTGCTCTCTGGAGGTAGGTGAACTATAACTCCAAAACTCAAGGTCAATGCCCACTAAACTGTCCAGTATTTCTGATGATCATGGGAGTTCTGTGTGTCAAGTTTGGTMCAATTCCATCATTGGTGGAGTTCAGAATGCTCTTTGATTGTAAATGAACTATAAATCCCAGCAACTACAACTCCCAAGTGACAAAACCAATCCCTCCTCCCAACCCCACCAGTATTCAAATTTGGGCGCATTGGGTATTTGTGCCAAATTTGGTCCAGTGAATTAAAATACATCCTGCATGTTGGATAGTAACATGAGGATTCACAACAGTAGCAAAATTACAGTTATGAAGTAACAACGAAAATAATGTTATGGTTGGGGGTCACCACAACATGAGGAACTGTATTCCCACTTCATTCTGCTTTGGTCAGAGCTCACTTGGAATAATAAACCTGTGTCCAGTTCTGGGCAAAGTAATTCAAGAAGGAGGTAGGCAAGCTTCCAGAGAAGGGTGACCAAAATGATCAAAGGTTTGTAAGCCAAGCATTATATTATGTAACAGAATTTGAAACATTTGAAAGTGTTATTTCCTGTTTAATTGTGTGGTCCTTACTTTGAAAGTTGTTGCAATATATCAGAAACTTTGTTTTTTGTGGCTGCTACAAATTTGTTGGAACATGCAAGGAATCAGTGAGTGCGTATATGCCAACTGTAAAATAAGATGTGTGAAGCTGATTGGTCAGACTACGTCCAGAGAGATAGCTAAGCCTGGGACTTTTGGATACTGTTACATTTTTGTTCAGGCTTGAGCTATGCAGGTGCAGAGAAGGACAAGTTTGAAGAGAGAAGAAGAGAGAGACAGAGTTTGGAGTGTACTATTGCTTCATGAACTGTTGAAGGAGTTTCATAGAATCATAGAATCCAAGAGTTGGAAGAGACCTCATGGGTCATCCAGTCCAACCCCATTCTGCCAATAAGCAGGAATATTGCATTCAAATCAGCCCTGACAGATGGCCATCCAGCCCCTGTTTAAAAGCTTCCAAAGAAGGATCCTCCACCACACTCCAGGGCAGAGAGTTCCACTGCTGAACGGTTCTCACAGTCAGGAAGTTCTTCCTCATGTTCAGATGGAATCTCCTTTCTTGTAGTTTGAAGCCATTGTTCCATTGTGTCCTAGTCTCCAGGGAAGCAGAAAACAAGCTTGCTCCCTCCTCCCTGTGTCTTTATCCACATGGACAAAGAAAGACTACTTTGAATCTCTCATAAAAGGACATTATGTGAGTTGATGCAACTGATCACATTGTACATATGCTATTCTGAGCTTTGAAGAGTAAACTACTTGTTCTTTACTATTCACCCACATGGCATATTTTCTTTCTCTGGCAAGGCAGTGTGTGGGCTGATCAAATGTGAACTACACATTGTTTATTTTACATTATGCTACAAAACTAGGTTGAGACTCTATGAGATATTCATTGAGAAACTATAGCAAAATGTGCTGCAAGATGTCACTCCTACAAAACAAAAGGTTTTGCAGTTTAATACACTTTTCCCAATTAGGGAAACCAATTAGGAAACAATATTTATAACCCAGGAACAAAAAAAAGTGTCACATAATGTCTGATCTTCTCACCTAGAGTAACATATGGTGAGGGTTGTTGTTCAGTGCCTTCAAGTTTCCTTCCTCTGAGACTAAGAGAATTTGACCTGTCCACTGTGTGTTTCCATGGCTGAGTATGTTTCCAAAGCCATAATATAATGCTCATGGAGCAAGGGATGTTTACTTTGGAGAAGAGAAGGTTCAGAAGGACATGACAACCATGTATCAGTATTGAAAAGGAGGTCCCATTGAGGAGGGGAGAAGATTGCCTTCGGTTGCTCTGCAGAACAATGGAAACTAATTGCAGAGAAAGGACATGGGCAAACTTGGGCCCTCTAGGTGTTTTGGACGTCAACTCCCACAATCCAAAATTTCTAGAGCAGCCATGGGCAAAGTTGGCAAAGTTGGCTTTTAGGAATTGTGGAAGTTGAAGTCTAAAACACTCCAAGATCTTTTTCACACGTACCGCACTCGAGCCATGCATCCCCCATTCTGTATTTAGACAGAAAAAATGAAAGGCAAAGATACAGAATGGGGGACGCCTGGCTCAAGAACAGTACGTGTAAAAAAAATCTTGGAGTCCTCATGGACAACAATTTAAACACGAGCCAACAATGTGATGCAGCAGCAAAAAAAAGCCAATGGGATTGTGGCCTGAATCAATAGGAGCATAGTGTCTAGAACCAGGGAAGTAATGCTCCCCATGCTCTATTCTGCCTTGGTTAGACCACACCTGGAATATTGTATCCAATTCTGGGCACCACAATTCAAGAAAGATATTGACAAGCTGGAATGTGTTCAGAGGAGGGCGACTAAAATGATCAAGGGTCTGGAGAACAAGCCCTATGAGGAGTGGCTTAAGGAGCTGGGCATGTTTAGCCTGAAGAAGAGAAGGCTGAGAGGAGACATGATAGCCATGTATAAATATGTGAGGGGAAGTCATAGGGAGGAGGGAGCAAGCTTTCTGCTTCCCTGGAGACTAGGACACGGAGCAATGGCGTCAAACAATGAGAAAGGAGATTCCATCTGAACACTAGGAAGAACTTCCTGACTGTGATAGCCATTCAGCAGTGGAATTCTCTGCCCCGGAGTGTGGTAGAGGCTCCTTCTTTTGAGGCTTTTAAACAGAGGCTGGATGGCCATCTGTTGGGGGTGCTTTGAAAACAATTTTCCTGCTTGTTGGCAGGGGGTTGGACTGGATGGCCCATGAGATCTCTTCCAACTCTATGATTCTATGAGTGTCCAACTTTACCCATGCCTGCTAAGAAAAGCAGCTTTGAGTGGACATGCTCCAAGGTAAGGGTACTAGTGCTTCCAAAATTTCTACAGCAGGCACGTGCAAAGTTGGACACTCCAGGTGTTTTGGACTTAAACTCCCACAATCCAAAATCTCTAGAGCAGGCATGGATACAGTTGGCAAAGTTGGCTGTTAGGAACTGTGGGAGTTGAAGTCCAAAACACCTGGGGTGCCCAACTTTGCATGCGCCTGCTGTAGAAATTTTGGAAGCACTAGTATCCTTGCCTTGGAGCATGTCTACTCAAAGCTGCATTTCTTACAATCCTAGAGTTTGAAGAGACCACAAAGGCCATCCAGCCCAACCCCTCCCTCGCCCAACTTTAGTAGTAGTAGTAGAAGTAGTAGTAGTAGTAATAGCTATTGATGTTAGCCATCTTGAGGCAGAGAGGGGCCTCATGATGTTCCCTTCTGAAACAAATTAAGAACTTTTGGAAGAAGGAGAAAGTGGCACCTCCATGCAGACTGGAAGCAAAACACCTTGAGCTACATAGACCTAAGGAAACTAGAAAACAAGACAGGCCTACACTACACGGTTCCCTCTCTCCTGGTTTCTCGCTATTTGGCTAGAGGTAGATGCTGCTGCTGGATAATTATATGTTTTAATGGTTTTATATGTTTTTAATAATTTTAGGTTGAATGTTTTTAACTGTATTTTTATGAATGTATGGCATCAAATCCTGCCAATTTTGTAAGCTGCCTTGAGTTGCCGTAAGGCTGGGAAAGGCGGGCTACAAATGCCGTAAATAAATAAATAAAACAAATGGTTCTGTCCACAAGAACTATGTGGACAGTGTCCCAACTGCCCATTGGCCTAGCCAGATGCCAGTGAATCCAAGGCAAGGTGGTCGCTGTCCGGAAGGAGCTGGACAGCCGTCCTTTCTGACCTCTATTCATGCGAAAGTGTTGCCAAAGCCTGGGATGACTTCGTACCCACCAAGGTTCCCGAGGTGCTGATAGGGACACAGATTGTGAAACATTAGGCCCATCTGTGGACTATATGGGGTGAAAGTTCTGTGCAAATGGGGTGCCAAGGTGGAAAGTATGTGCAAATAGAACTTGGGGTGCCAAAGAAAGGCAGGACAGGAGACCCTGATTCCAGTTTGCAAAGGAAAACAAGAAGGCAATGAAGTACAGAAGGGACCCTCAGTGTCCAAGTAATGAGCGAAAATGGAGTCTGGCAAAAGTGGGACCAAACTGGTGGCCAAGTCGGAGGGGGGATCCCCAAATCAGGTGTCTCAGGAAGCAGCCAAGCTCAGAAACAGGCCAAGGTTTGGAGACACGGCAGCGGTGACGGCACAGACTTACCGTGGGGCCGAGATGGAGCTGCAGCCGACGTGGGAAATGGAGGCAGCAACAGGCTCCCTTTTTATTTTTCGGCTGCTTGGAAAGTGGCAAGCAGCCAAGGCCCCAACAGCTGCCAAACAGGGACTCTTATTATAGCACAAGCCTGGCTGCAGAGAAGGGGACGGGCTAAGGAGACAGCCTGGCCCCCTTTTCTCCCTTTTGTGGGCCTCTCTTGCTGTTAAGGATGGGGTCTGGCCTATATGTCTTAATAGCTAGCCACCTCTCTGACTGCCCTGTGTTGACTAGCTCTGGTCTAGAACCCGTTCAAAGGATGGCTCATGAAGCACAAGGTTGGCTAAGGCTAACCAAGGGTCAAATCCTAGCCGGACACTTCACCCCTCCTCTTCCTGTGTGCAAACACCAAGAGGACACTCCAAGCTAAGAGTCCTGCAAATTGCAGAAGGGCTGAGCAAAGAACAGACCCTCTTTTGTGGGGTTTTCGCACCCAGAACGTTTAGCCAAATAAAGGTTCTGTGAGTTGCATTCACTCTAAAGCAGGCAAGGGCAAACTTGGCCCCTCCAGGTGTTTTGGACTTCAACTCCCACAATTCCTAACAGCCGGTAGGCTGTTAGGAATTGTGGGAGTTGGAGTCCAAAACACCTGGAGGGCCCAAGTTTGCCCATGCTTATCTAAACTTTGGGAAGAGGGACAAAGAGCAAAGAAAAGGGGTCTAACATAGGGAAGTAACCGAGCAAACACAGGTCTGTCTTTTTCCAAATGTCAGATTTCCCTTTTGCAGTTCTGTGTACAAAATTTCAACTCACAACTGAAAGCAAATACATATTTTCACCGAAAGTTTGCAGCCTGTTACAGATGTAACAGATGTTACAGATGTTACAGATGTAACAGAAAACCAAAAACAGGTACCTAGGCTAATGCCAACAACTAAGAAATTAATTAAAGAGATTTTTTAAAAAATTTTCTAGAGAGAGTATAGAATCAAAGAGTTGGAAGGGACCTCATGGGCCATCCAGTCCAACCCCATTCTGCCAAGAAGCAGGAATATTGCATTCAAAGCACCCCTGAGAGATGGCCATCCAGCCTATAGTAGCACTATAATGGTTAGAGAGGCAGTTATGTTTAATAAAATCAAAGAATCCTAGAGTTGGAAGAGACCTGGTTGGCCATCCAGTTCAACCCGATTCTTCTAAGATGCAGGAAAAATAGAATCCTAGAGTTGGAAGAGACCTCATGGGCCATCCAGTCCAACCTCATTCTGTCAAGAAGGAAAATCACAAAGCACCCCAAATAGATGGCCATCCAGCCTCTGCTTAAAACCCTCCAAAGAAGGAGCTTCCACCACACTCTGGGGCAGAGAGTTCCACTGCTGAACAGCTCTCACAGTTAGGAAGTTCTTCCCAATGTTCAGGTGGAATCTCCTTTCCTGTAGTTTGAAGTCATTGTTCCATTGCTTCCTAGTCTCTAGGGCAGGAGAAAACAAGCCTGCTTCTTCCTTCCTATGACTTTCCCTCACATCTTGATCCATGGCCCTCACCATGTACCCTCTCATTCTTCTCTTCCGCAGGCTGAACATGCCCAGCTCTTTAAGCCGCTCCTCATAGGGCTTGTTCTCGAGACCCTTGATCCTTTGAGTTGCCCTCCTCTGGACACATTCCAGCTTACAGTCAACATCTCCCATCAATGGTGGTGCCCAGAATTATACACAGTGTGATTCCAGGTGTGTTCTGATCAAGACAAAATAGAGGATGGGTAGCATGACTTCCCTGGATCTGGACACATGGCTTCTATTTATGCAGGTCAAAATCCCATTGGCTTTTTTAGCTGCCGCATAAAATTGTTGGCTCATGTTCACCTTCCTCCCCACAAGGACTCCAAGATCTGGGTTGTTCTAGGTTTTTTGGGTTGTATGGGGTTGGACTGGATGGCCCATGAGGTCTCTTCCAACTTTGATTCTATGATTCTATGAACTGGTATACTTTTATCTCCTAGGATTCCCTAGCATTGAGCTGGGATAGTGAAAGCGGTATCCAGGTGCATTAATTCATTCGTGCAAATGCATCTATTTGCCATTAAAACAAAAGACTATGCTAGAGCACAAAAGATCATGGAGATAATGCCTTTGAAGCCAAAATGGGTTGCCACGTGGCTTGTGATTTCCATTCGAGAATAACCCATTCTAAGACTAGTTGAATCCCTTGGGGAATAGTGATGGAGCTGAATACCCAAAAGGCACCAGATCCTATGTGATCTTGGGAGCTAAGCAGGGCCACCCTTGGTTACCACTTGGGTGGGAGATCAGCAGTGAATCTCAGGAAGATATTATATCAGGGGGAGAAACTGGCAAAACAGTCTCATCCCTCTTCCACCAGAAAGTGCCCTTTACAAAAGGAAATAGTCCAGATTTGGACGAGTGCCTGGCCGCTGTGTCTATCTGGATGAGGACGAACAAGCTGAAGATCAATCCCGACAAGACAGAGGTCCTCCTGGTCGATCGTAAACCGGATCGGGGTATAGGGTGGCTACCTGTGTTGGACGGGGTTACACTCCCCCTGAAGCCACAGGTCCGTGGCTTGGGAGTCCTCTTGGACTCATCGCTCACACTTGAGGCTCAGGCGTCGGCGGTGTCCGGGAGGGCTTTTGCACAACTGAGACTTGTGCGCCAGCTGCGTCCATACCTCGCGAAGGCTGATCTGGCCGGGGTGGTCCATGCCTTGGTCACCTCTAGATTGGATTACTGCAATGCGCTCTACGTTGGGCTGCCCTTGAAAACGGCTCGGAAATTCCAACTGGTCCAGCGGGCAGCGGCCAGAATGTTAACCGGGGCTCATTTATTTATTTATGTATTTATTTACTTTGCTTATATACCGCAGTTCTCAGCCCGGGGGCGACTCACAGCGGTGTACAACATAGAAGAACAAGATACAAAATTCAAAACACAGTCTAAAATATCCAGGTCTAGCATTAACAAAAACATCATCAAAAAACATCATCATTACTACAAAAGCCATTCCACGTCGTCTCATCGTCCAAACCACAATCCAGTACCATTTTCCGTTGTTCCATTCCTTTCATCATTACCAATTATTGCACTTCTTGTTCGAACGCCTTCTTGAACAACCAAGTCTTCAATTTCCTGTGGAATATCAACAGGGAAGGAGCCAGTCTGATGTCTACGGGAAGGGTGTTCCACAGCCGAGGAGCCACCACCGAGAAGGCCCTATCTCTCGTCCCCACCAGCCGTGTCTGTGAGGTAGGTGGGATCGAGAGCAGAGAGAGGTCAACCCTCCTGTTTAAGGAGCTCCACTGGCTGCCGTTTATTTTCCGAGCCCAATTTAAGGTGCAGGTGCTTACCTACAAAGCCCTGAATGGTTTGGGACCAGCCTACCTGCGTGACCGTATCGCTGTCTACGAACCCACACGCTCACTCCGGTCATCTGGAGAGGCCCTGCTCGTGATTCCGCCCGCGTCGCAAGCGCGCTTGGTGGGGACGCGAGACAGGGCCTTTTCTGTGGTGGCCCCCCGACTTTGGAACGCCCTCCCGAAAAGATCTCAGACAGGCCCCTACATTGGCAGTCTTCAGAAAGAATTTGAAAACCTGGCTGTTCCGATGTGCCTTTTCAGATTAGGAACCTCCAGCACCAAGTCCTAGAAGCACTTTAGTAGAACCAAGATCACTGCACTTGCTTTATAATCCCACATTCCTCCCGCCACATCAGCACTTTTAATCCTGTACCCCTACTCTGGCCGGCCCAGTTTTAATAGTGTCTTGTTGCATTGTTACTGTTATTGTTTTCTGCTTAACTGTTTTAATTTGCTTTAGGTATTGTATTGTTGTATTGTGTTTTGGGGCTTCAGCCTGTGTATTTATTTATTTATTTACTGCACTTGTAGACCGCCGTTCTCAGCCCTAGGGCGACTCACGGGGGTGTACAACATATAAACAGGTACAATTTACGACATAAGCAATATCACAACAACATTAAACAACATCACTATCAATAATACAATTACACTAAATCATTCGCGACGTCTCATCGTTGAATCACAATCCAAATCTTGTTATCCATGTTCCGTTCCAATCGTCATTGCCAATTGTTGCAGCACTTACTCAAATGCCTTCTCAAACAACCACGTCTTTAGTCTCTTGCGGAATGTCATAAGGGAGGGTGCCAGTCTGATGTCCACAGGGAGGGTGTTCCACAGCCGGGGGGCCACCACCGAGAAGGCCCTGTCCCTCGTCCCCGCCAGGCGTGCCTGTGAGGCAGGCGGGATCGAGAGAAGGGCCTCCCCGGACGATCTCAAAGCCCTCGTGGGCTCATAGGCCGAGATGCGGTCAGACAGGTATTTTGGGCCGGAACCGTTTAGGGCTTTGTAGGCCAACACCAGCACCTTGAATTGGGCCCGGTAGCAAATCGGCAGCCAGTGGAGCTGGTACAACAAGGGTGTTGTATGCTCCCTGCGTCCCGCTCCTGTTAGTAACATGGCTGCCGCGCGCTGGACTAGCTGGAGCTTCCGGGCCGTCTTCAAGGGCAGCCCCACGTAGAGAGCGTTGCAGTAGTCAAGGCGGGATGTGACCAGAGCGTGTAAGCTGCATTGAATCCTTCGGGAGATGCTAGCGGGGTACAAATAAAGTTATAATAATAATAATAATAATAATAATAATAATAATAATAATTTCTTTTTCAGAAAGTAAGCTTTATTAAACACATTATAATACAAAAAGAGAGGAAATAAATTCTCCCCAGTTCACACTCATTCTTCACAAGCATATGTCAAATTTTGTGGGTGTTGAAGTCCAAAACATCTGGAGGGTCGAAGTTTGCCCAAGCTGGGATAGATTGTACAGATACGGTGAAAAGATTGTGCAGTGGATCTGGATCTTAGATCAGTGGTTCTCAACCTGGGGGTCGGGACCCCTAGAGGGGTCGCGAGGAGGTTTCTGAGGGGTCGCCGAAGACCATCACAGACAGTATTTTCTGTTGGTCATGGGAGATCTATATGGGAAGTTTGGCCTAATTCTATTGTTGGTGGGCTTCAGAATGCTCTTTGGTTGTAGGTGAACTATAAATC